CACGCTGTCAGGCACTCGGAGCCCAGGGTCCCTCTAGGTGCGCGGGCCTCCCTGCAAAGCTGGAGGACTCGGCGTCTGGGCCTGGGAGCGGCGTTCCTGCGCCCCGCCTCCACGTGCAGGCGCCGGGCTGCTGTGGTAGGAGTGCTGGTTGGGCAGACGGGTCAGTCCCGCCTGGGTTGAGTGCTCTGACCGGAGAGAACCGGGTGGGAGGCGATGGCGTGGGTGCGTGGTCAGGTGGGTGCGAGACTGGGAGGGAAAACAGTGTAGGACGCGGGAAGGCACCTCCCCTTTCCGGGGACGGAAAGAAGTCCGTGGGGTTGAAGTGGGCAGCACTGGCATCCTCCGCCTCTCTCCGCGGATTGCTGGCTCCTCGCCACCTCGGTGAAGTCTCGGTTCTGCCCCAGACCGTGGGCCCGCTGCCTGCACACCCAGCGTCGGACGTTTTCCTGTCTGCTTCTCCTGGACCTACAGGCTCCAAGAGACAGATCTATCCGGAGGTAATGCGGAAGGCTTTTTCCAATGTTTCGCACAGTAGGACAAGTGGCTTACCTTTCTACCCTGCAGCCTCTCTCTGTTTCCTCGCCACCCACTCATTGCCGAATCACAAGGCCAGCATCACTTACGTCACAGCCACACCCCACTTCCAGGGACCATGTTACTAGGGCACAGGTGTCGCTTCTGTAACAGGGCGACTTCATACCACATTGGCTCAAACAAGTTGGATGGATTCTCTCACTTAACAGTATAGAGGTGAGCAGTCCAGGACAGTGGAACATGGGTACCCTACATGCAGGTATGAGACCGCTGCTGCCCAGATCAGAGACACCCAGGGAGGCCAGCTCCTTCTGTCCCAGCTCTGCCCGCCCCTGAGTGCTGTCCCCTTCGGTGAGGTCAGCACCGGCTCATCACTACAGTGCTCACCTTCCAGTCTGGGGAGTCAATAGTCAAGTGATGCGATCACACTGACATTTTAAGAGCTTACTCTGGCCGCTCTGTGGGAACTGAAAGGGGTGGTGGTCAGAACGAAGGTATGGGTTGAGTACATAGATCAGGGAGGCGACAGAGGCTTGGCCAGAGGACGGTGAGATGGTGAGCGACTTCATACCACATTGGCTCAAACAAGTTGGATGGATTCTCTCACTTAACAGTATAGAGGTGAGCAGTCCAGGACAGTGGAACATGGGTACCCTACATGCAGGTATGAGACCACTGCTGCCCAGATCAGAGACACCCAGGGAGGCCAGCTCCTTCTGTCCCAGCTCTGCAACCCCCCCCCCCACCACCCAGTGCTGTCCCCTTCCGTGAGGTCAGCACCGGCTCATCACTACAGTGCTCTCACCTTCGAGACTGGGGGGTCAATAGTCAAGTGACGCGATCACACTGACATTTTAAGAGCTTATCTGGCCGCTCTGTGGGAACTGAAAGGGGTGGTGGTCAGAACGAAGGTATGGGTTGAGTACATAGATCAGGGAGGCGACAGAGGCTTGGCCAGAGGACGATGAGATGGTGAGAGGGTGAGAGTAGACAGCAGTGTATTGTGGAGGAAGAACGGACAGGTCCTGCTTATGGAGTGGATGATTGTCAGGATCAAATGAGAGAACAAATAGGGAAACGCCCTAAACCGTAGTTTTTTTTTATGGGAAGGGATGTTTATTAGGTTCTACCTGTTGTAAGTAAATTTGTATACCCGCTTTCCTTAGGATTCTCAATTTTAATCAGGAATATAACAGATTTATATTGTACTTGATAAATACTGCAAGCCTAAGATTACCCCCCAATAAGTATAGTATGGGCATTTATGTATTTTTACTGTAATTCGAAATACAAGTGATTTTTCTTTACTCTTCTTTGCTTATCTTCTTCTAGATAACTCGCTCTCATAGAATGAAGTTGGCATCCTTACTTCGGACCACTGGCTTGCCTTGTCTCCTCATAAGTGTCCTTCTCTTTGTCAGGCTAGATTGGTCCAGAGCAGCGGTTCTCAACCTGTGGGTCGCGAACAATGAAAATACATCCTGCATATCAGATATTTACATTACGATTCATAACAGTAGCAAAATTATAGTTATGAAGTAGCAACAAAAATAATTTTATGGTTGGGGGTCACCACAACATGAGGAACTGTATTAAAGGGTCGCGGCATTAGGAAGGTTGAGAACCACTGGTCCAGAGTGTGGACCTGCACAGGAGGTTGAGTGTGGCTGTGTACAGAACGTTGAGGTGTCTTAAGGCATGGTCAGAGCTGGATAAAGCACAGCATCAAGATACTCAGATTTGGTTGACGTCCTCTATGCCCTGATAACATGGGAGTTGATGGCGGGACTCCTAATTTCTGGTCTTCTCTGTAGTTGACATTGTGCCAGATTTCACTGTGTTGTAGAGCAAACCTCCCAAGTGCAAGGTCATTTTCCAAATGAAAGTGTCATCGAGGAGGGATCTTTGCTTGATGGAAACCATGCTCTCTTTCTAAATGGCGGTCTGTAGGGCCTTATTAATCTTTCTCATCAGCATTAACCGTTCTCTACTCAGGGCTGATGGACGTCCGTATCAGCTACTCCATATCAGCAAAAGTAAACTTTCCTTACTGTGGTAGAATTAAAACCAAACTCAACTAAAATCCTCACTCAGCAAACTGTTTCTAGTAACTAGGACTCAATTAGCCAGCATTACACGTTTATAATACAAATGAATAAAGGCCATTAGTCAGTAAAAACCCTCAAATACCTTCAATCTGAAAGGTTAGATGTGTGTGTGTGTGGAGACTTACCATTAATTACATTACTGAGTTCTAATGATTTACCTTGGTATTCTAATTCATGGTATATATGCTTAACTCATATATTAGCTTATATATTATATACGTTCATTCAAGGTGTTTAATTTTTTTAAAAATATATTTTATTGATTTTTTACAGAGAGGAAGGGAGAGGGATAGAGAGTTAGAAACATCGATCAGCTGCCTCCTGCACACCTCCTACTGGGGATGTGCCCACAACCAAGGTACATGCCCTTGACCGGAATGGAACCTGGGACCTTTCAGTCCTCAGGCCGACGCTCTATCCACTGAGCCAAACCGGTTAGGGACAAGGTGTTTAATTTTTAAGAACGTGGCCTTTTCTCGCTGTGCTGATTGAAGAGAACACACGGTGCTCTCTGTCAGTGTTCAAGGAAGTCGGTATCTGTTTTCTTTACTCTCCACATTCTTCTCTAGTGTAGAGTGGAAAATGGGTTTCTGGAGGTGACAGCCTGCCGGGTTCAGCCTAGCACGGCTGGTACCGGCCTTGCTCTGCGTGCCCCGTTCTTGTACCGTTCATTGGCTCCCCGGGTTCGTGGGCAATGCATCTCCAGTCTGATTGCTACTCGGGCTCACTCGCATCAGCACGGAAGCCGAGGCTTTGAATTTCATTTCTGCCCAAATGTGAAACCCTTAACCACTCCCCTCCCCCCTCCTCCGCGTCCACTCATCCAGCTCCCTGGGCCCCATCACTTCCAATAAAGAAGCAAGTCCTCGGCAATACAGGCGCGGTCGCCCCTCCTCGGCGAGGGCAGCTTGTCTCTCCCAGGCCTGTCTACTTTGTTCCATCATTGAGGCAACAGGATACATATCTTCTATTTTAATTTATGCGTCGTATCAAGTGTCTTCTCTTCATCGCATTCCTGCTTCAGTTATTCTCTGGCGAGGTTGCTGTTCGATTGATCTCCTTCAATTATTGTTAAGTAATGGGGTCTTCGTGTAGACGCGGGGTTTTAATTTTGTTTATACAGTGCGAGTGTCTTTATAGTCGGGCAGTAAATCTCCATCTGCCTTATGAAGGCTGACAGAGCCTCGCTAGAAGGGAGGGGGGGAGAGCTGTACACACAGGCATCCGGCGTGAGAGGCCTCTGCAGCCTTCCTTTTGCTGTGGTCCAGGCCAACCCGCGATGACCCGACTATTTGCCGAGTAAGTGTCCAGGTCAGTCTCATGCAGTCAGCTCTCAGTAATCCACAGTAAATAGCAGCAAACATGAATAATTTAATCCACTCAGCTGACTGAGGGCCATCAAGCCGGTGATCCCCACGTTCCCTGGGGAGCCCAACCTTAACCCAGCACCTTGGTATCAGCATGGGACCTCCTTTCACCTGCCACAGAGGTGGGGAGCTGGCCTCCTCGGCCACCTGAGCCCCTCGAAGAACCTCGGCTTGTCACCATGGATACTCACAAGTCTGCTGACCTTCACGTGCCAGTTGTTCTGTGACCCCACCCAGAAATGGTTCAGATGTCATCCTGGAGTGCGGGCATGTCGCAGAGGCAGTGCTTCTGCCTCCCATCCCCCACCCCTGCCCTGTGCTTTCCTTCTCAGCAAGTCTGATGTCACTCAAAAGGCAGGGAAATAGTAGGAGTGCTCGTTGCTGAGTGATGTCGCTGATGGAAGGTCCACGCCTACGTATAAAATGGCATGGGGCCCGTGGTATTTCCACTGCTTCCCTTTAACACAGATTATTTTTTAATTAAATATTTTTTGTTGAAAGTATTACATCTGTCCCCCTGTCCCCCATTGACCCCTTCCAGCCTACCCCCACCCCCACCCCAGGCCTTCACCACCCTATTGTCTGTGTCCGTGGGTTGTGCTAATACAGATTATTGAAAGCTGACAATAAACCAGTTTTAACATGTCACGTCTCTTTTTAAAATTAAATTTATTGGGATAATAGTGGCTAATAACATTATTTAAATTTCAGGTGTCCGACTTTATCATGGAACATCTGTTCTGTGCTCACCACCCAAATTCTAGTTTTCTTCCTCACCACGTATTTGACCTCCTTTACCCTTTTTTAAAATTTTCGTTTGAATTCTCCTTGGGTACTTTACACTTTATTCTTCATTTCTGACGTAATTTCGTTTTCCCCTTCCATTACTTTCCTGGGTTCATTCACCTCTTTCCTTCTTGCTCCCTATTTTTGTCCCTTTCTGTTTTTAATTGGCATTTCTAATTCAAGGTGATTTTCGTCTCCAGTGTTTGCTTGAATACGTTTAGTTATGTTTGCAGAGTATTGAACTACAGTTTTCTTTTGGTTCATGGCGGTTTTTTAGGAGGGAATTTCTATAACGTTGGTCTTTCTACAAGACCCTGGTCTGATGGCACCTGGTCCAGTCAGTGCAGCCGCTGTGTGTATGCGCGTGTGTGTGTGTGTGTGTGTGTGTGTGTCAGTGTCTGACGGGAGGGCATGAGCCTCCTGATATCATGGTCCTCTTTACTTGTAGGACCCGAAATTTTCCCTGTTTTTCTTCTTTTTATCTTCACCACCAGTTGCCAAAGGGCACCTCGCCCTCCTCTTTCCCCTGTTGGCTCCCAGAAGCTATGAGTTGTCAAAAGGCCTCTTGTTTGCTCCTTAGAGTTGTGTGGACTTTGCAATCCCTTCCCTGCGTCCATGTTGGCTCCCAGAAGCTATGAGTTGTCAAAAGGCCTCTTTAAATGGTGTTTGCTCCTTAGAATTGTGTGGACTTTGCAATCCCTTCCCTGCGTCCATTCTCTGGGCCACGCAGGGACTGTCATAGCTCTTTCATGTTTGCAGTGGTCTCTCCAGGGCCATGGAGATGGCTCTCACCCTGTGTTAGTGGCTCCTCGCAGAGCCGGCCTCAATGGGGGTGGGCTGGGAGCCCGGGGACCCACACTCAGATTTGGTGGTGTTTCTCTTTGTACCAGCCTTATTTTTAGATTTTGGCATCCTCTGTCTTTAAGTTTTGCTCGGGGTGTGGTTTGGTGCAGAATTTTGAGTTTCTCAGGCTTCAGTTTCCTGTCGTTTGGGAAGAACTGTAGGAGTAGGTAACTGTATACCCGCCCTTGTCTTCTGCCACCTAGAGGTCAAGCGCTTACCCCAAGAAATGACTCCAAGTGGCTTAAGGGTCTCACTTTAATCTCTACGTATCTGTTTTAAGGCATGTTAGAGAACAGTAGAACCAGCAGCCTAAACCTATGAGATAAAGCTTCTATTGAATAAATCCATTAAATAAAAAGGTGTCAGTTTAGAAAATATTAAATAACAGTACAGGTAATAAGTAATTTGGCACAAATCATGATGCTGGTTTGCAAGTGACTGAAGAAGTTGTAGCCACGGGTGTCACGGGCAGGAGCTGTCTAGCAGCCGGGCCCGCAGGCTGCCCAGGGATCCAGAGACACCGCTGGGGCTGGGCAAGGCAGTGGCATCTGACTCGGTGTCAGTGCGAGCGGTGCCCTCACAGTACACAGCCTTGGCGCTCTGAGAGCAATCTTTCCTTTAGCTTTAGGGGGTTGCTTTGGTAGTTTACCTTTCGCTCCAGTGGAAGCAGAAACCAAATGCTAACGTTCCCAAAGGTTATCAGTTAAGACTGTGTGTGCAACTTTTGAAATAAAATTAACTCGGTCTTCGGTGTCCGTAAGAGAAAGAGTTATTCATGTGTGGATTATTCCTGTTGTGTCACTTAGTACTAGCAGAATGTGTTGCAGCATAAAACTAGTTTCTTGAACAAAATTTATGGGTCTTGTACATTTTCAATATCAATAAACCAGTCACAGTAGTTTATGACAAGATTTTCTGCTCAAATTGTTAAAATGACTGTTTTAAATCTGTAAAGCTAAGTAAATATCAGACAATTTGGGAAATAATGAGGTTAAATGTAATTGATGGCGGTTATTCCTGAAGATAAAGTTTAAAGTCATCCCCTCAAATGTCCTATAAACTTTCCCAGCTCCACAGGGTCTGTATTTGCAGCTGAAGTTTTCAGGAAGCAAATTTAATTAGCGTTGTGTGCTTTACGAGGCCATCTCGAGTGAAATTTTGTTCGTTTCAGAAGCGGGTGTGCAGGAGCCTCGAAGCAGCTGCGCAGGAGCGGGGCTGTCCCCAGGTGAAGGCCGGCGCCCTGGTGTCCTGGGGCAGCCGGTTTTTTTGGAGGGGCAGCCGGGAGGCCGCCTCCCTGCGCCAAGGCCAGCCAGCGGCCAGGGGCCACCAAGTGCGGGGGTAGGTTCCTGTTCGTGCCAAACCAGCTGGGAACCCATTTAAATATTCTAATAAAAAGTGTAAATAACCGTTGTTCTGATCCATCTGCGACTGTGATTTGTCAACCAGGTCCCTCCGACCGGTGGAAGGAGCTCCGCCCAGCCCTGCCCGAGATGTATTGCAGGGGAGTCTGTAAGTGCATTCACCTTCTTGTGTCACATAAAGGGTAGACTTGTTCTTAAATATTAGATCCATAAAACAAAGTTAATAAAAAAGGCAATTACGCTTCTAAGGAATGAGGGATGTAAATAAAAAGGTGCCGCTTGATTTAAGCTTTTCTTAGCATTCTACTGGGTGCAAACTCATTTGTCTCCAGCTTCAAGTTGGAAATAGAAATTGCAAATATGTTTAAAATTCTTTTTAAAAGCAGAATTCAGGGAAGGGAATTGGAGGACATCTGGGAAGAAAGGCCTGCCCTCATTTAAGTATCCAAATAGGAATCAGTGTTGTTTTTTCTCATCTCTGATAAGCTTTTCCTTCATGTTTCCATAAACTTCCCATAAACCAAAGATTTCAGGAGAAATGCAATATTCACACCATTAATTCAAAGTCAAGGGCGGTCTAACACTGCCAGGGCCCAGTTCTCAGTCTCCTGTGTCAGGCGGAATATCATAAAGTATACATTAGCATAATCATGCCTTGGTTATTAATTTTGAGCTTATTCTAAGAACAAGTTAATATATCTTTGATAACCTCTGTAATTCTTGGGGGTTTTTCAATTTAAAAATTGGAATCTTAATATTGTAATAAAATAGAATTATGTTTAATTTTACATAGAAACCAGGAGTGTGTGTAAGTGTGTGTGTGTGTGCGCATGTCTGTGTGTGTCGTCTGTGTATATCTGCTTTTGCTCCCTAAAGATTTTTACAGAAGCACATTGTTCTGATTTTGATAAGCAAAAGATTGAGTCAACGAATTAGACCTTCAATTGACACATTGCTAGTTATTATGTTTTACAATGATAGGCAACGATTTTGTTTTAAACCAAGAACTGGAAGGGTGTTAGTTGTCACCTGTGTGCCCCTCTGCTCATGTGAAGTCATTAGTCAGGTATGAAAACAAAGCCCGGTGTCAGACCCGCCCCTCGAAGGCGCGCTCTTCTTCCTCGGTGCTGTCCTTAGGAAGCTCCACCCTCGCAGGTTATGTGCTTCCACACAGGGGGGAAGGCCAAGAGCCAGCACCTGAACTTACTCTGTGTAGGTGGCTCACGCGACTGCCACACACACCACGCAGTGCAAAGAAGTAATATTTACCTTGAGAAATGGGACCCTTTCTGGGCCCACTGCTTATTGCTGCCGCCCTCCCTTCTCATCCAATTTCGGTGTCTTCCAGACCCACCCGTGGGGCACACACTGGGCATGAACCGTGGATCTCTGTGCTCTCAGAGCTGTGCGCTGGCATGAGTGGCTTAAAGGAAAAAAATTTGGCTCAAGCAACTGATTGGATCATTTTGGCTAATATTCTGTTTGAACAACAGTACCTATTTGATTAGGGTTTTTCCTTCCTTTGTAATTCCCCAAGCTTGCCTCTGTTCGTTTTCATAGGAAATGAGTCTATGAGCAGAAAACCTATATTGATATGTAAATATATCAGTTTTTGGTTAATGCTTGATATTCTTTTTCATCTAAATTTCAGAAACCGACTTTAAAAAATCAGTTTCTCTCTATTTGTAGTTATTTTCAATAAAATTTCACCCAGCCTTGGGTGATTTAATATTTACACCCACTATTTCTAAAAGTCTTATGTAAATAAAGATTGAAATATGAATTCGAAAAGTCACACCTCTTGATATTTGAACAGACTCTAGCTGCATATATCTTCTTTTTCTAATAATATGGCTACTTTCCCTCCTAAGCTTTTAAAATAATAAGACACTATTTTTGCATTTTAGAACATTGAAAGTCCAGTGTTAAATAAAAAGCAAATAGTATTTTTAGCGATGCAGGATCCCAGGGAGCAGTGCTTAACACAGATCACTGGTGGGCGTAGCCCTGCATGTCAGACGGCTTCATTAAACATGCCATGCCACGCACTAGGCCCCACACGCACCAGGTCCCGCCACGCACCAGGCCCTGCCATGCACCAGGCCCCACCATGCACCAGACCCTGCCATGCACCAGGCCCTGCACTCACCAGGCCCTGCCATGCACCATCCCCGCACGCACCAGGCCCCGCATGCACCAGGCCCCACACGCACCAGGTTGCACCAGGCAAAAGTGCCTCCCACCCAGGCCTATCCCCACCACTGGCCCAGGGGTAGTTTGTGTGGGATTCTTATCGGGGATCTTGTGTGTGATTGTGAGCTTATTTGGTGCTTTTCCCCCAAAACCCCTTCACATCCTAATTCCCTGGTACGGTTCTGACCCCAGTGGGATATCAGCTGATCAGTTCTGCCCTGAATTCTCCGCGTGGCTGTCTCAGCTCGGTGCCCGAGTTCCTGTCCTCCTTCTGTCCCTAAGCTTTTCCTTTTTTTTTTTTTTTTTTTTTTTGGTTAATCCTCACCCGAGGATATTTTTCC